TGAATACTGTCTTTGATATGTTGGTAATGTTCGAGCTCTGTTTAGCGATAGTGTAGTCAATAATAGATTTTTGTTGTCTAGTTTCATTTTTCCGTGTGTACCTATGTATTTCTTTATGCTGAAAGTAACCGTTTAGGATTTTTAGGTTATTTTGTTGGCATATTTCTATGAGCCTTTCTCCATTGTTATTCGTTACATTCTCTCCGAATTTTCCGATCACCTTGTCGTTGATTTTTCGTCCTGTTCGTCCGTTAAAGTCTCCCAGCAAAATTATTTCCCTTGAAGTTCCTACTTTTATGATTTGGTCACTGAGTTGTTGGTAAAATTGATCCTTTATATTAACGGGTTCGTCGTCGTTCACTCCATATAGTACACTTTTAACCAGTATTAAATGAACTGTAACGAAACTAACCAAATATATGCAAACTAGCCCAAACTAACCCGTCCACGTAATGCGTACTAGTCCTTGCATGTATTGAATTTGGAAAAACAACAGCGCGCTTCGCGCGCTTTGTTATTTATTAACTAGTAGTCCAGTACACTTTTAACCAGTATTAAATGAACTGTAACGAAACTAACCAAATATATACAAACTAGCCCAAACCAACCCGTCCACGTAATGCGTACTAAGTAGTACTTGAATTTCAGTGCCGTAACTAGGGCGTGGCGAAGGTAGCATTTGCCACGAGCGCAAGCTTCAGAAGGGCGCAATCTGCCAGTAATCGTTGAGCCTGAAGCATCTTTTGCGCAAAACAGCAAAATTTTGAAGAGCATTTTCCGCATTTCATACTATACAATACAGAGAAATAGATATTTCATATGATACTAAAACAACCCGTCCTGGTGGAGAAGCAAATGACGAGACTCATCTTTTGGAATTGAACTCGTGCAATTCATTGATGCAATTATAACACAGATCGGGAAAAGATTTGTTGTTTTTCTCAGTGGTCGTGCTATCAAGAAAACGACTCTAGTAGGTAGATTTAAAAATGCTACAGACTAGGCAAATAAAAATCCAAATGATTTGAATGCGCCGTTTACGTTTGAGTTCACTGCAGAAATAGATTTTCTAAAATTCTAAGGCGAACCCGTGCTTGATAATTCAATATATATGACAGTATTATGACTTTTCTCTTGAAAATTTTATCCAAACATATGGACAGCTTCAAGTATATTTCTAAGCATTCTATCGACTACTGCTACGTGTGAGCGTTGCTTTAGTACCTAAGCTTAAGCTTATATTGTCAACCTAATTTTAGTAGGTACACCAGATTTGACCATGTATCAGTCAGATTTAGACATGCACGATTAAAGTAGAGATCTATCTGATCGGACTGGGATGTGCGTATCGTAGCTCTGTCCGAGTAGATTCTTCGCGTAACGACCCAAGCTTTGCGCTACGGTACAGGCTCCCTAACTTCCATTCCATAGTGCGTGCTTGCTTTCCTAGGTACATTTGGATTCCAGAGTAAAATATAATCTGTGTTCAGGGGTCTACATTGAGAAGGATCAAGGGTATCAGAGATTCAACGTCTCTACTTCGGATGGGGACTACAAACCGAAGGAACGCATCTACAGGTCGTTGTTGTAGTAATACACATTCCTTCTACCGAAAATATACTTTCACTTAAGCAGGTCTTCCCTTCCTAATCCACCTTTTCAGGGTGGTCACAAGAGCTACACAGCAAAGCCGAATGGGTGCTGTGCAGTGGCGTATTTACGATTTTCATCTGGGGGGGGGGGCAACGTAACAATAAAAACAAATAAAATTAATTATCTTTCTTTAGCGTGGGTCAAGGTTCCTGAAGTTAATAGGTTGTCTGGTAATGGGTAATTTGATGGCGCATCTAGGGTACCTTATGGAGATTTGCATTATATTGAGGCACCCCAGATAACGTCATCGAGTTATCCAGGCAACCCAAGGATGATAAACATTACTACTACAGGATAGTCTATCCTCATAAAGCCTGTGTGGAACAAATCCCCCTCACACCAAATCCTCAGTTGTGACGTAGGCAACATGTTATTTCTCGCCTTGGCGTAGACTGTTTAAACAGCTGACGACTTAGTTATAACGTCCGAAATGGTGACACACCAATATGGCGGCGATTACCAAAAACGAGGCCGATAAGTAATCCTGTAGGTGTGTATCATCCTTGCTGGCAACCTACCTCTCTCAAATAACCTTGAGCGGCGGTAGGGAAATGAAAAATCGCAACCAAAAATAAATTCCGACGGAAGTGACGACATCAGTGTGACGAATCGCTTGTATTGATCCAAGGACGGGTTAATCTGTGGACCCCCCTGTGTCTTCTCTCACTCCTATTCCCTTTCTTCCATCAGAAATTTCTGTCTCTGTTTTATTTTGTAGTGCGTTCAAAATCACCCTGGCACACCAGGGTTGCGTTCGATAACCTGGTTATTGGTGTGAACATTATTTCAATGAGTGCGGGTTCGACACACTTCGGTGTGTAAATCCTCTAGGTTTTCAAACGGTGACCGAGTCGTTTATGGTTTGTTAATGTGCGTATTCAGTAACTAAAAATTAGAAATATTTTTCTGGGGGGGGGGGCCCTGAGCCCCCCCCCCCGTAAATACGTCACTGGTGCTGTGACAATATAGTCAATGTCTTATTCTAGTTTCACTGTAGGAAAAGAATAATTAACAAATGTAACCATACTTTCGATCGAGAAATCGATTCCACTTAGTTTTAATTATTAATCATGACGAAATTATCGACGTATAAATTATCGACGTATTTGCAGAGTTGATGTCTAGAAAAAATTGTTTATATTCAGAAAAAAGATAATTTAAGCTCCCACGTATTCCTCGTTTTTTAGTAGTTTAAGCACAGATTTTGATCTTCTTTTTGGTTTGTTCCTTTACCTGTTTTTCGCTATTACATAGTACCTATGTTATGTTATCGAGTGATAATTTAAATTTTGAGTTTTGAATGTTATTATTTTATTAATGTCAAATGAAACAAGAACTTTAATTTCTGTTAGTTCTCTTATTTAAATATAAAATTCAAAAAATCAGCATTCGTGTGACCTCTGGTATGGGGCGGGGGCGCAAACTAATAACCTGCCACAGGCGCAAACAGGTCTGTTGAATGTTAATATTGAATTTAGAAAAACACAAATGCGCTTCGTGCGCTTTACTTTCAACCAGTATTAAACGAACTGTAGGTAACGAAACTAACCAAAGATATGCAAACTACCGCTGACGAATTGGTGAACAAATACCTAATGAGCATTAGGTAGATATATGAATTCTAGACATGGTGTAGTAATAATATAGTGAAATGTAAAATTACCGAAACCGACTAAAAATTCACATCCATTTGACAATCCATTTATATTCTGTAATTTTTGACAAGTTTTTTTTCATAAGCAATGTTTTAAGTGGTGCTGCGAGACGAGACTAGACGAGACGAGGGTTGGTCTCGTCTCGTCTCGACATCTCGAGACGAGACCGTGATTTAGTCTCGGTCTCGAGTACCAAAGTCTCGTCTCGTCTCGAGTGGTCTCGAGTTATACAGGGTGTCTAAAAAATAGCGTAAAAACTCTTCTCTCCGTGGTGGAGGACCCTACAAGGAACCCCAGAAAAATACTTTCAAAAATCTAGTGGCATTCTTAAGAAAGTTATTTGCATTTTAATATTTATTAAAATTGGCAAAACTGAAAATATCCCCGTTGAAAATATGTCAGAGAATTAAATTTAATACCATGTAACTACCTGAAGAATTCGAAGGTGAATTTTCACATCTACCTCTTAATATTACCAAGAATAATGCTGGGGAAGGATTTTTTTAATTTGATTATTTTTCTAGGGTTTCTCAAAGGGTCCTCTACTAAGTGGAGAGTTTTTACGCTATTTTTCGGACACCCTGTATCTATCGTTTTTGTTTTTATACTATAACGGAAGTCCAAACTGCCACAGTGAAAAAGCAATTAGTGAAAAATCACAGTAAAGAGTAACCCTGACATTTAATTTACTGATTTCATATTCAAATAGCCCAGAATTGTCCAATAATAAAGCTATGAAAGAAAAAATTTAAGTGTAATCTCGAGATTCGAGACTTGTGGCGCCAATTTCACTGTTTGATTTAAGCCGCCATGCCATAGTGATTCGATTACCCTATTACAACCAAACAAATGAATAATTATAACGTATTTCCGCAATAAAATTTTCACGTTTTCATATTCAGGAAATTTTTTCAAATGCAAGGGAACATCAATTTTTCACGCATTTGATTTCAACTATTCTAAAGTCTGATGAATTTCTCCGAAAAATGGAAACAGCAAGGAAACCGCCCATTTCCGCAGGAAAATTTTTGTGTTTTTATGTTCAGAAAAATGTTAAAAATGGAAATCAAACAATTTTTTCAATGTAACTGATTTCAGCTATTCTAAAGTCCGGAAAATGGAAATGACGCATTTCCGCAGAAAAATGTATGTGTGTCTGATAAAAGGAAGACTTTCTGAAGACAACTGTAACAAAATCTCTTACATACCTGATTTCAGATAAACGAAAGTTGAGCCAAATTTAGCAATGAAAAAATGTGGAACTTCAATTTGGCCCTTAGCGTCATGCGTATATCTACCATTTGGCAACGCTGAGTGTCACGTCAAAAGTCAAGCACTCAAGCGATTTATTTTTGAGGTTAGGAAAGTAGACAAAACAAAAACAAAATAAAAAGTTCCCATTCACAATGCCTAATTGGGACCAAATTCAATACCAGTTAAGGTCTCCAACAAATCCGATTGTTTTCTTCGACGTCTCTGTGGGAACCACTGTAAGTAAAGTACCAACCTGCTATCTAGTAATTTTTGGAAGTTTGGAATTTAACAGAGACTTTCAAGAGCCATTCATTTAGCATTTGATAGATACCTAGATACCTATGTACCTACCTATTGGGGATATGAGGAATAATTTCAAAGTTTCAAAAAAGCCAGTGCTAACCTCTACAACTGTATTTTATATTTCATACTTTTTAGGAGATTGGTAGAATGGTATTTGAGTTATTTGCTGACGTAGTTCCGCTAACAAGCGAGAACTTTAGACAATTTTGCGTAGGAGAGTACAAAAAGGGTTCTGTTCCTTTAGGTTATAAGGGAGCAAGCTTTCATAGAGTCATTAAGGACTTTATAATACAGGGTGGAGACTTTGTTAATGTAAGTCAATAAGCATCGGAAATATTCAATCATTTGATTTCATAACAATTGTTTTTAGGGGGACGGTACAGGTGTTATGAGTATATATGGAACATCAACATTCACAGATGAAAATTTCAAAATGAAGCATGATTGTCCAGGTTTACTTTCTATGGCCAATAGCGGCAAAGACACTAACGGTTGTCAGTTTTTCATTTCTTGTGCCAAGTGTAACTTTTTAGACAAGAAACATGTTGTATTTGGAAGAGTCATTGATGGTCTCTTAGTTATGCGCAAAATTGAAAATGTTCCTACTGGACCTAATAATAAACCTAAGATACCAATAACTATCACACAATGTGGTCAATTATAATTTTATGTAATTTTATTTCTTCTTAAATAAAGTTTGTATAGCCAATAGGATTTGAAATAATAGCACAGCATATACAAAAACAATCAGCAGGTTAATTGTCACGCGCAAATGGGCCACTTCCACGTGCCAGGAATATGGCAAATTATGATATTTTTTATTTTTTGACTCAGATACATCAATGCAACTGAGAATGAACAACATTTTGTAAAATATTAGTCGGATTATTAAATAAATTAATAAATTAAAATTTAAACAAAAAATCACGTGATTGAAAATGCCCTCTGATTGGCTAAATCCGATTTTGACGTGCTTGTTGCCACATTTAAAAATGCGAAATTTAAATGACATTATAACGATTATACCTATCCTTTATTTTTTTATAATGCAGTGAAGAACGAAAATATTTTCTAGCTAGTGAAATGTGTAATGATTTACTGATGAGAAATTTGGCATCCTCGCATTTTAGTTGATTTTCTGGCTTGTGACGTCACAAACCAGTTTCGCGTTTTCACGCAAAAATTCGATTTTTAAATAATTTTTTTTTTTTTCAAAAAATAGCGTTTTCTTTTCGGAAAAAAAGTAAACAGATAGTAATAGAATGACTAAAATAATAATTTAAATATGTTTTTGAAAAATGTGAAAGTGGCCCATTCTCTGCGCTCTCCGCCATTTGAGAATACAGCCTAGGATTTAACGGCAGGGTCTCGAGATTTAACGCGCAACTTTTATGCGCACGCCGCCATTGTAGGATACAAAGTTTGTTACCGATTGAACAGTAAATAATAAAATTTGAAGAAGTGAGACAGTGAATGGGTAACTAAGGGTACGGTTTGTTAGGAGAGTACGCGTCGCACAACTGACAACGTAAACGTTGTCATTGGTTCAGGTACATGGGCGCTGCCAGGATTAGTTTCAGGGAGGTGCATACGGGGCACGGGCAGTGGCGGCGCGTGGATTGTTATATTGGTTCAAATTACTAATTTAAAAAGGTGAATGTCCGACGCAGGAGCTGCCGGAGGCGCGAAAATTTTTCCGGTTGCCACGCCCAAAAACGGTTATTTTGAGCTTTCAAAAAAATAATTTTTCTAGGTGATTAAGTATATGATGTTTTCACCTCGGTGGAAAGTGGCACGGGCAGTGGCAGATCTAGGGACGAGTGGCCCTCAGGGCAAAATATATTTGGGGGCCCCTAGGCCTATAACCTATCCCTTGAGCAGTGGCGCACCCAGAAAATATGTTTGGGGAATAGGGGGACCCTACAAAGGTTGTGGCTTGTGTCTAGAAATCTGAATAAAAAATTGACGTGTCTGGGTTCCACGCCATAATGTCAAATTTCTTTGTAGTAGAAAAAATAGTGTCACGATATCGTCCGCCAGGCTGTCAAGAATCGATGGTGAAAATACTAGAATCTAGCGAATTATTCTACTTTTATCTGGAAAATTAGATTATCGTGTGTATTCTAGATTTTACAGGAATAGATTTAGGAATATATAAGAAGGCCAGCATTGGTTTGTAAGTTTCAGTTTCAGTTCGACTGCGATACGATTTAAATAGTAATTGTAAAGAGTTTAATTGTTGAGTTAGTTATTAAAGTAATTAGTGTCAGAGTGGTTTGTTTAGTGGAATCAGCAGGCAACCCAAAGCCGCGACATTGGTTTCAGAAGTGGGATATAAAGGACTGCAGAGTGAAATCCAATTACGGAAGTGCGGGGACACTAGTGTAGTATAAAAACTGAACACTAAGTGAACACTGGGACAGTTAGTGCAGTTCAAACAGTGACAATAGTAAAGGGGCTAGGACAGAGCTGGCACACTTTCACCCATTTTCCCATGTAAATCTCCATAAGAAAATCTAAGGTCCATTCTGGCAATTTTTATACCGTTCAAGGTCATCCGTCCAGCCCGCCATCAGTCGTTGCCGCTAAGCCCCACCCCCTTTCCAGTGCCCGTGTCTTTCATCGGTCGCGTCAGCCGCCGCTGCGTTCGGGGTCATTGACCGTACCTGGCTGCAAGCGGCTCATCGAACACACATAGCAGCTCGTGACTACGTGATTACGCTGGCATCCTGCGATAAGCAAGTCCTAACAAGTCTCTAACCAATCCGAAGGCTGAGGTCTCTCGTCTCAATATAAGAAACGAGCGGCAACAAGCCGGAGATATTTTTATTATTATTTACATCATTTTAATAGCTACAACGCTTTCGCTCGTATTCAAATCAAAATCGCCGCTTGTTCGAGTGACTTGTTGAAAGTGATCAAATTAAGATTAAATAATTAATAATTAGGTACTATAAAAATAAGTATTATTTTAAAAAATTATCAGAAAAATATGATACCTACTGTCTTGTATATATTAAGCTTGCAAACAGGTCTCAACTTGCTCGATGGTGAAAAAGAGAAGAGTTGCGTAGCTGAAATTTTTTATCAGGATCGCAGAAGTGTAAAAGAAGGTGCGAAAACTTCCCAACAGCGATTTGTCTAGACCTATAAAAGTACATGATGTTAGTGACTTAGACTGAAAAATAAATACCTATAAACAAACTCGGATATCTACTAAGTTAATGTAAACAAGCTGCTTCAATTTAAAAAATGTTACAAGTCCGGCATTGGTGCATACGTTTTATATTAATAAGTCTAAATTCCGCTTCAGATGTAACCAATAATAGTTTAAAGGAACAACCGTTCACATGAATCCAGTATTCAGTATTTTATTCGAGTTGATAACATAACGAGGAGTGTTGTAGTTTTCTATTTAAAAAATTAATTAAAGCCAAAACACCATCTAAGCCATTTTAACGATGAAGTTTACACATTTGCGACTAATTTGAACAATTTCAGCGTCTGAATCGGATTTTAGCTTAGCTTCAGGAAAAAATATACAGATCTTCCATCCCAGCCTAATTGGATTTTGCGATAATTGATTAAACAATAATAATAATTGTTTATACTCCGTAAAAAATTAATCGGTACCTATGATTATTTTGGCTATGTGTCGCAGTGTGTGCTTGACCAGTGAATATAAAAAAATTCGTTCCGAAAGTTCCAATAGTTTAAAAAAAATAAAATGATTCCCTTCACTGAAATACAAACTTCCTTAAACAGACTTACTCCCCCAGTAAACCTGCGTGTTTACTTGGAGGATAATGAGATTGAAATAAGGTAGGTCTGAATTAAATTTTTTCACCGAGTTAAAAGAAAAAAAAATTATATTTCAGAAACGCAAGTCATGGAATAGTTATTATTTTGATTGAATCCTCAGTTTTTTCTCTGAGGATCTAGGATCTTTTTTTTAGATAACATAAGTAATTGAAATCTTTTTTTGGATATAAAATTATAATCAATATCTTTTCAAGGTTGGACTAGACTCCAGAGAGATAACGCCTCTTATAGCTTTACCTAACCTTTTCAAATTAAACAATAATTTGCTTTTTTGGTTTATGAATCGAAATGCTGTGTCTCGTATTTGTTGTGATTATTATTGATTAGTTTGATTATTGGAGCATTGGAGACAAATGATTATGTATGAGAATGATGAAGCGTGAGGGTGCTGGATTGCAAGTGTGTTTGTATGTATGATGCGGTCATTGACCCCGCCTCAAAGGCTGTGTGCAAGCTAGTGTGATCGACTGAAGACGTGGGTTTTGGAAAGGTGCTGGGTTATAGCGACGGAAGCTGCCGCGCTGGATGATGTTTACATGAAATATATTGTATATTATAAAGTAAAATTATTTTGTCAGTTATCAGTGTAATGATGGCGGCAAAACCGCAAGACTCGATTGGTATAGTGTTCATTTTTAAATTAAACTTTTAAACTAATCTATGTTTCTTAGATATTTTATAATTACATCGCTAGTTATTTGAAATTGTTCTTGCGAACGTGTAAAAAAATTTTGGTCTTGTTGTCTGCTGAATTTCTTGGAATAATTGATTGGTACCTTTTGTTGATATCACACAAGTAAGTGAAATTATTTTGAAATAATTGGCTATCTGTGTTATCAGTAAAAACCCGCAACTCTTGTTTAGACTCGTCAACTAGTTTTGAATTAAACTTTTAAAGTAATCTGTGTTTTTCAGGTATTTTATAATTACGACACTTATTGTGAGGTGCTCATGTTAATGATGGGTACTGAATTTCTTGGAATAATTGATTGAAACCTCTGATCAAAAATAACTAGGATCTTTTTCGATACTTAACACAATCTCTTTTTATATTATAATCAATTTTTTTCTAAGGCGATGTCTATTAGATGTATGCACTGAGCTGATAATAAAACCTGGTTTCCTACAAGACCATAACAAAAATAATTTGTGTTTGTTGTGCGAGAGAGAGCCAGGTATGTGGTATGAAAGAGAAGTACATCATTATCATCATCAGTACCTTGTATGGAGCATCAAGGTATGCACGGTCTATGACCACTCGATGGATTCATTGATTATTTTACAATTTTTATTTCCTCGACAATTATTTCCCCCATCATCAATTTTAATTAGTAACGCCATTATCAGTATGAGGTATGAGACACCTGAAATTTGAATTAGTTACGCCATTATCAGTATGAGATATGCAACACCCAAAGTGCCAATATGACCGAGGTAGCTGACCGCTCCTCATGATTGCATGTTACCTCCTCCTTTTCACCATTTATTATCAACTGCTAGGATAGCCTAGTGGTTGCTGCAGCGGGCTTTCAAGCTGGGGACGGGAGATCGGTTCTTAGTGGTTACCGACTTTTTTTTAATTTCTATTTCGTGATGCAGTAGCTGCGCGGGTCGATTATATATGAGAGCGGGAGAGAGAGAGAGGTATGAGGTACGAGGTGTGAGAGCAAGAGAGCGAGAGTTACGGCATCATCAGTATCAGGTAGCGAGTATGTGTGGCTGCCTCGGCGGCTGTTGAGGTAGTGCGAACGGTCAATGCAGACCTGGGCACTGGTAAGGGGGCGGGGCCTAATTCTAGGAAATTTTACCCCCACTCCAAAACGGTCCGAAAAGTGTAATTTGGGACCTGAAATTTTCTTATGGAGATTTACATGGGAAAA